ATAACTTGAATTTTCTAAACTGGTCCAGCCTATATATAAATACCACACCTCAAGTAGCAAATTGCCACCACCTTTCTCAACCCCACGTACTTTGAGTCTGGGTTCAGGCTTTGTTAGGATTTGGGCAAAAGATCTTTGAGTTTACACTGGTACAAGCTATTACAATAGTTGACAAGCAAAATTGTTAACACAATCAAATCACAAGAGGCATATTGGAGAGAAGTTATTTTAGGTTGTGCTAGATGGAGCAAAACCTCCAGGCTGTGAACCTTCACCATAAACCCCACGACCGAATGCCACCATGCCGAAACAGAGAACATGAAAAGAATAAAAAAGTCAAAACTCCAGCTCCACAACCACCAGAACCACCTTAACTTTAATCCCGACAGTGGCGAAAGGTTTTGATGGCTTGCGGGTCTTGAAGATACTTGCATGGTAGCTAGACGGATTTGTCGTGTGCAGCAATCACTTCTGCGGTACTGACTGCCATGCGTTACTGGGTGTAGATGTCGTTCTGCGCAGTTTGTAATGCATAAAACTCTCAATCTCGTTTGCGGTATCCTTCAGCAATATGCTATTGCTTCATGTGATCCATTGCGAACCAACTACTGACAGAACCTGCAACAACGAGCATAAGTATTTTCCTGGTTGTGGGACTAGTGACTGAAAAATAATTAACAAGCTGTTAGTAACAGGTGTGATTTCTAGACAGCAGGATTTATGGAACAAACAGATTGTGGTAGCATTGTATGACAGGTATACGACAAAAAAGGATGATGAAGATAGGGTGATGAAAAGAGGGTGTTGAAGAGAGGACACCCTTTTGTCAATGCTCGGTGCTGGGTTACCTGGTTATTTCGTGTCCTTTCTCACGAGGTGAGCATCTAGAGGAACAGGGTGGTGATACAACTTTGTTCTAGGCTAATCAGAAGTATGATACTATAGATAGCTTAATCTACCATTATGGCTTCAGAGGTAGATGTTGAAACAAGTTTTGAACAATAGAAGTAGTATCGGTTCTTCCAATTCATGCTGGTTTGGATATACTAAACAACGGGAATGGAGTACCATATTACCTCAAGTTATACAGTTTTTTACTAAGGCTGGGAATTGCTTAGATTTGATGGTACCTAAAGTATAAAAGAGACCATTAAATGCCCCAAGTGTCAACATACCGTAGTAACCAAGGGATGGGTTCTAGGTGTCTTAAACAATGCAGCTGAGAGTATTCTAATTACTCATATGGAAGGGGTAGGATGGTGATTCCTCTGGTTTCCAAGTCGGGCACCGTGGGTACATAACGGACCCTCACATGCGTTGCGATATCGCCAGGGCCTTCAGAGACCCCTGATAGCCACATGCAAGAAGCAGTCTAGACAAATGTGAGGAGATACGAGGAATGGTATGGATTGGAAAGAATGTAGCCATCAGATGTATATCTGGTCATGGGTTAGATTGGAATGAGGGATGGTATGGATTAGAAGGAATGTAGCCACCAGGTGGATATCTGGTCGGTTGGATTTTCTATAGTATATAGTGGTCATCTATTCTAGCGGTAGGAAGGGAGTCAATTAAGTCAAGAAAACGGTTAACAATTCTTGCTCACTCAAACAATCATATACCCCCCCACACAAAAGTACCTAACTGAATTCTCCTCGCTACTCCACCTGAACTCTCTTTTCTACTTCAATATGATAGGTTCTATTATCCGAGTGATCATTCATGACCATGGATACAATAGTCTTATGCAATCGCAGTAGCACCCTGCGAACAGATAAAGTCTAATGCGAAAAGGCAAAGTATAACATCTATATTACTCAATAGGGATACCTAACCAGCTAGCATACCACAACCAAAAAAGCTGTCAAAGCTAAAACTATAAACCCAAACATCCTCTACCCTACCTCCCGCACTCACATTTTGTGATAGTTTATCCACCCAGGTGGTACCCACTTTCTTCACCTAATGCTCTAGGTCCTAGGCAGAAGTATTGAGGTTAGTCCTACCCTTGGAAGAGGTAGTTGGTTTGTCAGCGGAGGAGCCCCTGAGCTTCTTCTGTCGATGTGGCTGACTTTGCCATTCTCTCCGTGAAGGTGGGTGTCTCTTACCTTCACATCGCTCCTGCCTCCGACCGACCCGCAAACTGCTTCCAGCTTCCCCATCAACCCCGGCTCCTTCGTTAGCTTTCCCATCTCCACATCATTCCTGCTCGGCAAAAGCACATTGTCCGCCCATCACTCCCCCCCTACTCGCTCGTTAGAAATTATAGCCTTAGCAGCTCCTCCTTTGGCCGTCTGGGAAACAGCGCAGGCGGATGGACTCTTAGCGAACTCCACATAATGACTACCAAGTCCGCCTCTGCAACAGTTCTAAGTCCCACAAGAAACCGCTGTGGGCTCTCGCTAAAGAATATAATATCTAGCTACACCAAGCTGACTCAAGCCTCGGACTGTGGAATACTTCTCCTGGTAATGTGCTCCTTCATGTATCACTCCCGTATTCTATGTATCTATTGACGAAGCGCTGCCGAGCCCGTCTAAGGCTACGCCAATCAACCTACCACCTTACCGAAACGACAGGAACCAGGTTGAAACTGGCAATCCTGGGCAGCGTGAGTATAGGGTATGACAATCAATGCACGATTGCCCCGTGAACAAGCCATGGGCTTCGGTAGGCAGTGGTGGGCCTCTCCAGCAGAACTCCTACTGCGTGTTCAAGCGTGCCTATATTTTGGGTGAAGCACTTGTGCAGCGAGTGGCTCTTTGACATTAGTGATATGAAAGCGTGCACGACTGCTGGGTGAATTGGCCAGGGTACGGAGATTTCATAAGGGTGAAGAGAGGTTGTAGCTTGGCGTAGATGAAGCTTGTGTCAGAGACACCCTGCGAGGGTGGGAGGTTTAGAGTTTGAAGGCTAGAGTAGAGGCCCGTACCTAGTTTGTGGAAATCCGGGGTGCCGGCAGAGGTCGGGATTCCAACACCACACTGGAAGAAATGTCGCCTTGTGGTGGCGGAAGCAGCGGTGAGTGTTTGGGAATGGGAGGTATGATACCGGAAAGGCTATCTTTTGACACTTCCTGCAGGGGATGAATTCCGCCACGGCAGGTAGGTCTTGGTGGGAGATAGGTTCGGGTGGGCATCGGCATCGTCCTGAGTGGATATTTTAGCACCTATTTTTTTCTTTTTGAAAGTCTGTCTTTCCTTAGGTTATCGAATGGGATTTAGAGAGTAAAAAAGAAACTTCCCCCTTCTCTGTGAATTGTGAAAGTCTGCACCTACCGGTACATCAACCGAGAGGAAAGCTAGAATCCAGCCCGGTTACCAAACAACAGTTACCCTACAATCCTAGGTTAGGGTTTTCCATAGAACATCTGGTGTTGGCGCAAGGATAAATGGCAGTTCTCCCATGGTGTCAATCTTATTCCTAATCTTGTACTTCCTATTAAAAGTCATACCTATAATATATCAGAAACCTATCCGGTAATGTAATAATTTTTTCAACAGCCAAACTTGACTCACTAGACAACCACAGCATAAAGCATAAAGGTGGCCTCTACTATTGTTATCAAAGTCTGCTAGAACCTTTCCCTGCTTGCAGGTTACACAGAATTTTCTATAAATCCTGTGATAGATATCTAATTATTTTTAGTATTTAATTCTCTTCCACATCATAGAAAATACATACCTACCCCACCCACTTCCCGCTTTACAACAGACTTGCCATCAGGTATTTCTGCAACTGTAGAAATTCTTTCTGGTCTCTTTCTTCTTTGCTCCTATACAGAAAAATAAGTGATAAGAATATAACATGGCAAATTGTAGGTTTCAAAATTGACAGGTATTGCATGCTAGGCAAGGATAGCAGGTCTTCCTCCAGTCGCCTCTCATATCTTTATCAAAATCAAGACAAGGATTGTCTTGTCTGCATCATCCACAGTATGGTATTTTTTTGAAGGCTTGCCCTGAATGTTTGTATCATGATAGCGAGGAATTTAAAAAGGTCTCATGATAGAAAAAAAAAATACTTAGTGAGAAGACTCTAGTAAAAAGTAGTCATAGTAGAAGCAGTTGTGTAGAACTGAGATGGGTGTGAGGAGAGGCAGAGATGGTAAGAGAAGGGGGAAATAGAGAGGGAAGAGGTTAGAAGAAATGGGTGATGGAAGAGGGAGCCAGGATTTTCTGCAGTAACAAGTATGAGGCTCTTTCTTGAGAATGACCAGGTGTGTGGCATGCAGCAGTCCTGAGAACAACTATGGCAGGATCCAATCAGATCGCCAGCAGTGATATCTGCGGAAGACAAGATTGGTGATCAGATAAATTGCGTAGCACGTATTAGACTGGATGACCAATACTGGTAAACAACACCGAGTGATTTCCTGTGACCATTCATGGGCAATCACTCGCTGCCTCGAACACCTGTATCCTTGTCGGGGTACGGGGCTGGCGCCAGATTAACCTCAGAAATAGGGGTTTTGGGGATACCATATCATTCCGTAGATCATCCTACAATGGGCTTTGGGATGGGTTTTTGGGTTGATTGTCTGGAATATATGATACATTGCGATTTTTTTTTGGCCAATCTCCATCCTGGGCATGAGTGGGGATGGTGGGCATTCGGAGTGGTTAGGACAATTGTGGTGTACCTTTCGCATACAATCCCCCCCCCATCTTGCCGGGTACCCTGGCCCTCAAGGAAAAGTATTTGGCACAAATCTGCCGTGGGTGGGCGGAATGATCCGAAAAATTCATTTACAGTGGGCTTGGGGCAATCTATTTTTTCATCCCTCATTTAACGCCCGCTGGGTTCTGTTAGAATGAAAACCCCAATGTTTGGTGCGATTCGGCCTCTCTCCCGTGACCTAACTGGAGGTGCTGTGCCTCCCCACAACTATCCAGGCTTCCCCAATGTCTCACCATTTGTCCATGGCTGCTGAGATTAAGCAGGGTATGGACAAAGTAAAAAAAAGGAAAGAAGATTCAAATAAAAACCTCACGTAATTTATCATAGAAAGCTCAATTCACTAAGCACAACCCACACAACACGCTCCAGCCTAGTCCAGTCCGGCCCATTTCGCATATACACTATACAACCAACCCCACAGACAAACCTACTGTATACTAACTCGAAACAAAGCTACAATCAATCAATCATAAAAATTGCTTTTTTAAACGAAAAAGACAACTCGCGCGCAAAGCTGAAATAAAAGCAAGGCATGGGGAAGTAGATGATTGCTAAGGGGGGGGAATATATGAAGAGGTGAAAGGAGAAGGAACAAAAACTCAAAACGCGTAGGTTAAAATCAAACTCCGTTGAATCCGCGGTTACAAAGGAAGAAGGAAGAAGGGAGAACCGAGAAGAAGTAAGACAAAGTCGTTATATAAGAAACGTGGACATTATATAAAGCCCTATGATAGCATCACCATCCTGTCCCATTTTTCTTCTCTTGGCATTGCGCATTACCGCATCTTACGCATTTCGTCCAGTCTTGAAGAATTGGTGGAAGAAATGATGGAGGTAGAACGAACGGAGCCTGCGGCTCTACGGAGGCTGCTACTTCCTGCCTTTTTCGCGGTGGTCTTCTTTGAGGGTTGGTTGATGTTGCTGCTTGTGATGATGACCTTCTTTCCCTTGTCTGCAGACTTGTCCCGGAGAATAGTGTTGACGGCCTTATTTCCTAGACCCGTTCTGATAGGGGCGGGCTTGACAATCGGCGAGGGGGAGCGTAAGATGCGGAGGGGAGACTCAGGAAGGGTCAAAGCTTTCAGAGGAGAAGAGAAGGGTGATCCACAAGAGTATGCAATACTGGGGGAGGACGAGGGCGCTTCGGGGTGATATGTCTTTTTCGGGGACGGAGAGAACTGGCGGACGGCAGGGTGGGATGCCTTCATGGGGGATAGTCGTGTGGCCTTAGTTAGTAAACCTTTGCGTCTGGTAGGGTTGTTAGTGCTCGGTTTTGCAGATGAGGTGTTCTCAAGGATCGCGTTGATCTTCACACGTAGTTCGTCCTCAGAATCGCTCCTCTTAAGGACACGGATTTTCCCATTATCATCATCACCCTCGCCGTCAACTTCAGTTGCTGTGGTGGACTGAGACGAGGTGGAGCCATGTGCAGTGGACGACGAGACGGAAGATGCAGATGTCTGAGGATTCGCGAGAACAGAGTCGATTTCAAACGCCCCGTGTTCCCCCGATCGCCTACGACGAAGGTCCCCGAGAACCGCCTCATCGCGTTCGAACACTTCTTGTTCGCTTAGCTCGCGGAGAGGGATACGTCCTTTGGCCTTCTTCCTAAGAGCAGCAAGAGATGATTTGGGGAACTTAGATACGCCGGCTGGAGTCGAATGCGTCAACTATATGTTTCACGATATAGAGAAAAAAAGAGACCATGGTACAAAATGAGCACAAGATGAAACAAATAAGAAAAAATTGGGTTTAGCATATTGACATGATAACATTTGAATGGGTTCTTTTGGCATCTGAAGCACTAAGAGTGTATGATGGCAGAGGCGTCGATCGGAACAAATATAACTTACTTGGTTGTCTCGAAGGTGAGGTTCCAACATAAGCGACCCTTCCCTGCGAGATGGTAACGTGGACATTTTCCTTATTGGCACCAGAGGTATACGAGAGTGGCTTTGGCGGAGAGACGTTCACTGATTCATCCTGAAATAAGGAAGGGACTTTTTTAAGAGAGGCATTCGAGGAGAGGTCGGTCGTTGGCTTCCTTAACTTTGTCATACCAGTTGTCTGTTTGACACGCCTCGGTATGGACGAAGCGGATGAACTGGCATTAGCAGAAACAGCACGTCTAGCAGTACTGAGACGAGATTTAGTTGGTGACATTTCTTTAAATTTGTGGGTTTAAAGAAAGGGTGGTAAGACTAGGCTCTGTCGGTGCCCGTCTCCCACAACGAGTGAGTGTGTGTGATATAACAGGGTTGAATACAGTTGGCGAGGATAATGGTGGTGGTGGTGTACAAAGGTTGAAAGTTGTTGGACCGGCCTCCGTCGAAAATGTCGAGGCAGGTTGTGAGACGAAGGTACTCGGTAGAGTCCCCCCTGGGAACGTTGACGAGCAGGCGGGTTGTTGAACAAAAGAAGAGAAGAAAAAGGGCGGGAGCGTGTCGGATGCCCTAATACATGACCTGCAAGTCACGTCGAAAAGCAAGACTTTGCTGGACTCCTTCCCTCGTCCAAAAAGAGCGTGAGAAAGAATTGAAAAAGACTGACGCGTGCCAAAGAATAAGCCTCCGATATTCTCCAAGACAACGATTAAAGGGAAAGAAGGAAGGGGGTAGGGGTGGTTATAATTACGTTGACGGGGTGGAAGGGAGAGAGGGAGGGAGGGAGAGGAAGATGCCAGCCCAAAGAGAGTGAAAGAATTAAGAAAGTCTTGGCACGTGTTGAATTCGTGTTCCGATGAAAATGGAAATTGAGGAAGAACGACTCCAGGAATGGAGGGATGGGAGTGGAGGGGGTAAAGGAGACGGCGGGAGGGAGGGAGGTTGGATGTGTGACAAGGAGAAGGCAGGGTCAAGATTTGAGAGACAGGCGCTTGAGAGAGGAGGAAGGTGGGTGGTGAGAGCGATATGAGGGGAAATAACCTCTATCCTGCCTCCTTTCACTGCGGTGGTGTAAGTATACATGGACGTCTGTCCCCAGATCTCAGAGTACCGGTAACGGAGAGGCAGGGCAAAGCAAGGTACCGAACACGAGGCAGAGGCAAGAGTTGTAGTTTGACCTCTCTCTCCTCGCTACGGGAGCAAAGCTTGGGTTTGGATATTGGAGGATAGAGCGCCAACTCTTTTCCTTTGTAAGTGGAGAGGGTTTAGGTCTATTCTCCGTCAATAGTTAGGAGAGGAGCCGTGATATATGGTGGTTCATTGCAGCAATTGGAAGGAATGGGAAAGCCTTTTGAAATAGAAGTCTCGTTGTGGCGGCATCGCACAAGTACTCCAGCATAAGTAATCCTTGTCATTAAGGATAATGCTGTACTTGTAAATAAAATCCTTGCGTTGCCATAGTGACCATCATAGCCGAGATCCTCAGCCCTTGCATCGCAACGGAAAACTTGGGCCAACCGTCAACACACGCACACAAAACAACGCCCGTCCGCCTTTATCCCTCTTGCTTCCCCCTTCCTTTGAACACTACAAACACACCCTCCCCGCTTCCATTCTTCATCCTTATCATCACCACATTCCTGAATATTTCTTCTCTTTGCGTTTCATAAAACGCTTCCTCCTTACGGTCTCTTCTTGAAAGAGCTCTGTACATCCATCCTCCTCGCGTTATTACTATTATGACCTCCCCTCAATCGGTTCCTCTCCCTGCAGAGGATAATACAAACTACTTCAATTCACCTTCAGTTTACACTGCCACACCGGACAATCGTTCCCCAGGAGCATGTGATGAATCCGCCAAGGCTCCTTTCACTCAACCGGATCTCTTTCGTCACCACCTCTTCCAGGATTTGAACACGCCTACACCCGCATTGCACCCTTTCCAAGTTCTAACACCTCAGGATATGGCAACTCCTATGGGGAGACCGAGTCGACGGGGTGGAAAATATCATCCTGGCAGCGCGCCAAAGACGGAGGCCAGGCGGAGGGATCGTGACAACATGATTTACAGCACTTCCGACATCTCTGCAGCGGGGTCAAGCTCTGATTTGGACCAGTTTACCTCTGAAGGTGAGGAGTTCGATAACGGCGATTACGAGAGTTTCGACCGGACTATAGCACTCAACCTTGCCACTCCTGTTCAGCCACGGCTTCGCCCCCAGGCCGCTTCCACACACTCTCGGCGTACAGCGGGTCGTATCTCCCCTGACCGAACGGTGGGGAAGACTCCTCGTGGAAAGGGTGCATGCGAAGGCACCATCAGCTCTTTTGAGGCTAATGCAGCTTCGTTTATGAATCCTAATGCCCTCCCGTCAATATTTGCGGAGGAAAACATGACCCCTTTTCCTTGTCTCTCGGCTGCTTCTCCACAGAAGCTGAACAGTATCCATGGCGCTCCAGGAATAAATCCCCATCAGCTTTCGGTTGATAATGGCAATTTGAGCACTCAATTGCGGGAGAAGGAGGCGAAGATTCGACAGCTTGAAGAAATGTTGTTTTCCCAAACGCAGGATATGGGTGAATTTGTCAATTTCTCACCAGAGAAGAAAATGAAGCCTTCTTTAACGGCTTCTGACGACCTTCAGCTTACTGTTAAAAAGCGTCGCTCACCTAGTAAACTTCCCCCCTCAACAATCTGGAAAACACGTAATGTCTCGCGTTGCGCCTCGAGATCCCCAGTCAGGCCATTTGTTGGGCTTTTCGAGGGGATAGCTGACGGTACTCCCACAAAGCTTCCAAAGGTGACTGTGGAGGAGAGAAAGCAAGAGCGGAGACGAAGGGAGACTATCGAGTTCAGGGAGTTCAGTGCTATCGACTTGGAATCATTGAAGGGTTATTTACCTCCTCCCGTAGCCGAAGAAACCACTGGCGAAGATGCCGAGATTGGACAAGGACCCGAGAGCAAACAGCATAATGTGAGCTCCACCCAGAGAGACCAACATTGCCGGCTGCAAGATGCCGGACCAAAAGATCAAACCAAGGCTCAATTGGATATCCAGTCTGCCCGAGCGTGCCGATTCCGCACACGTCGTTCAAACTCTGCCCCCCCTCCCCCGGGGCCCGTGAAGTTAGAGACCCAGAGATTGATTACATCAGATCCTGAAATTACCGAGATGTCATCAACAATAGCGGCTCTTCGGGCTCAGATAGCTCAGCTACAGGAGAATTTGGAGGTCACTTCGGTCCAACTTCAAAAGTCAGTGGTCAGTTTGGAAGGCGAACGCCGTGCAAGAATTGCTGCTGAAGAGACTTGGCGTTTTCTGGAAGTTGAGAAGAAATTTGGAGTTTGCTGCCAGTTTGCTGCCGGGTCTGGAAAAACAGGGCTAGAGGCTGCCGCGCATTTACCCCTACCTTCTAGTCCTACAAGTAGTGTTACATCTCACTCAACATTCGATGGTCGTGACCGATACGAGAGCAGACCCGGTAGCAGGATTCAATACGACAGGCCGAGCAGCAGGCTCGGTGCCTACAGTTCCAAGATTGCAACGACTACTACTCTGAGCAGGAAGAGAGGAAGAGAGGAGGGGCCGCAACCGCAAAATGCTGCCAAAAAGCCACCAGTTCCTCGCCAAGAGAAGAAAGTGCTGAGTGGTGCTGGGCCCGCTGCGGCAAATGTGATGCTTGGCCGCGGTGCTACAAACGGCGGGTTGAAGAAGCCGGCAGCTGGGACGGGGATGGGAGCGCCGCCTGTCAAAGGTCCGATGCGTGCTACTGGCGGAGTTGCAGGAGCGACCAGAAGTCAGATGGGATTGTCTAGGGGTGCACGTAGATGACATTAAATTGCCTGAGTAATTGTTATTGGCAGGTTGAGGAAGATATGGTCTATATGGTTTTTACAGCTTGTTGAGTAGCATTGTTTGTTTCCGTCGATAGGACATGCCACCTGTACGGGGAAAAGAGGAGATGACGTGGAGGGGTTTTCTCTTTTATAACTCTTCTCAATCATCTTTTGGGGTTTTCCCCGTCCCCCCTTTTCTCTATCTCTTGTTGGACTAGTTCAAATTTTTTTCCTAATTGTGCACACTTTTTGTGGCGCCTTGCATGGAAAGGTGGTTGATTCTCTCTTTTTTTTCGCTTTGCTATTTTTTATTTCTAAAAGTATTACACCATTATTGGATTCTCGTAATAGTTATTGAAGAACCGAGACGGCTTTGAGCTATTGTATATTTTATCAATGAGGGAGCAGTGTATTGGGTGGTTCCCCCTCCCCCTTTTTTTGGATTGGGGGATAGTGCAAAATTCCATTGTATTTCGGAGGATGTTTGGTACCTAATGCAATTAGAGTCAGCTCTTGGAGACGTTTTGTAGTATCAATTATCATTGGCTTAGTATATCGGCAGAATGGTCTACCTACAAGTCCTCGGGTGAATGATCGACTTTGTGGGGTTTCAGTTTAGACCGGGTAACCAGAGCCATTCCACAAGGAGCCTCAGGCGTAATTGAGCCTCAAGAGACGAAATCTTGGCAAACCTTTCCTTATGATACATGGAAAAAAAAAAGGCACCTCTTGGGCTGACGATATTACTTTTTTACCGCACTCAGCACTTTCCGCTACCACAGCTATGGCTTCCAATTTGGCAGCCCAGCTGTCAGCGATTGCGGCGACTTCAACAAATACACTCAATACCCAAAAGCTCAGATCGATTCATTCCATTTCTCTTCTTTTCCCGCCGTCTGTCGCTGCTGCCCAAGACACAGATACCATTTTCTCCATCGCGATCGAGGGATTTCGGGAATTATGTCGACTAGATAAGAGATTTCTACTTTACGAGAAGGGCCTGTTTAGCGAGTATTCCAAGAATGTTGATAGATTTGTTTTGCCGCAAGCATCGGCAGAATCTCTTAACAAGAACATCGATGGTTTTTTACAGTTACTTTGTGGGCGTATGCTCTTGCAACCTGCACTGAGGGCTCTAGAGTGGTTGGTTAGAAAGTTTAGGTAGTATTTCACCTTCTTTATTCATGGTAGTTATGCTAACAAGTAGAATGCTACAGAGTCCAAGACCAGAATACCGCATCGCTAATTTTGTGCTTCTTGCCGTACCATGACCATCCAACTCTATTCAAAACTCTACTCTCCATCCTCCGCCAGAAGGATCTCCCCAGAGAATTCATTTTCCTCACACCCTATCTCAGGAAGCCATCGCCGGTTCCAAAGCATGTTATCACCCACTCACTCTCCCACCACAGGGACTTGTTCACTCTCCTGTGCGACCATACGACCAACGCAGTCTCCGCGAAACGGGATAGCCACCAGTTAGTATCATTTTTCTCAGTGGTAACTACGGCGTCAGTTTCGTTGATGTGCGATTCAATATCATCCAATAAATCCGGCAGGGCGAAGAATGTGCCAACTGCGGAGAACATCCTCACTAGCACACTCCCGCTCCTAGACCAGGCATTTTCAGCCAGATCTTCTCCCGAGCTGGAGACAGGTTGCCATATGCTCACCATCATTCTTGTTACGAAACTGAGCCTGGCGGACACTGTCTTGACTGCGATCATAAAGTCAATTGTAAACCATTGGACGGTTGGATCGTGTAAGACCGGATTGACCTGTGCGGCTTATATAGCGCAATCACGGTTAAGCAATGACGTGGAGTTACCGGATGAGGTTATCAGTGCCCTGCTGAAACTTGATATGCCGGAGTTTGGAAATAAAGGATTGGGCGAGGCGATCCTATCCATGCAAGTGAAGTACAGGGTGGATAGACTGGTGGTTGCACTCTGTTTGGGTATACTTAAAAGATTGGGGGAAACATATGACGTTAAGGGACTCAGAATTGTTATCTCGCTCTTGGAGCGAGCAAAGATGGAATCACACCAGCGGTTATTGGTGACCAAGAGGCTTGTCGAGGCTGCTCAGAAGGTGGGCAGCGCAGCGATGAGTGGCGAAAATACCAATGAGATCAGGGAAGCACTTGCTGGGGCTTTGGTGAATTGGGCTGGTCCAGCACGTGAGGGAAAGATTGGAAGGATTCTCACCCAAGTTATGGCTGATGATGCGATCAATGCTGATGATCTCGAAATGCGATTGCAAACGGTGATTCGTACGTTACCTACAGCCCTCCCGGGACCGGCAAACAAGGCGGTCGAAGAGGTACCTGCCCAGGCTCAAACGCTTGAAGATATCCTTCCTACAATACCGAGTGATACCGGTGAAAAAACAATTCTAGCACCCAAGGCCAAGAAGCTCTTTCAGGACCTCCTTCGCTTCTTTGTCGTGGCGGTCTTATCCAAGAGGCAAGAAGAGTTCATCAAGCTACCATTATTTAAGGACCTACCGCCCGACAATCCCCTCCAGATTTCATTTCTAATTGAATGCTGGACTTCACAAAAGTATCCTGCAGCTATGAGATCCTCCGCCTTGAGAGTGTGCGCAAAGGCCATACGGAGACAGGCATCAAAATCAGTAAGCGTCGACTACCAGGCGGTCCTTCCGCACATCTTCATTGCACTTGCAGATCCAAACCGGAGGGTTCGCAGCGATGCTGTCGACTTAACTAAGGTGCTTTTCGAACATTACAAAGGTTTGCAGCAACCCATGTCGGGAGATAAGCCGCCAAAGAAAAAAAGGAAGCGTTCCCTTAGAGCCGCCCAGCACTGGGGTCTCGGTACTATCTATGGTGAAGGAAAGGAGAGCGATGAAGTAAAATGGCTAGAGTTAGATCAGGTTATCAAGTTGATGGAGCAGATTACTGCCAATGATTTTTTTGGGTATATCGAAGACCCAGAATATATTGGCAATGTGTTGGCAATAACTGTGGGCACTGGTGAAGGCATTAGTTCTGGCCTCAAGGGCTCACTCAAGAGAAGCATTTTTGTGTTTCTCAGCAGTCATGCAGTCAACGCTCCGGGATTGGAGATTAGATACCGGCTCCTTTCACAAATTAACAAGATCAACCTCGCTGGGGATATTCGAACCCAAAACTTACTTCCTGCACTAACCGACTGGCTATCTGTTGAGGGCTATGATGAGCGAGTCCAGCAATGCCAGGCGGAGCGCTTGGATATCTTGGCTATTGAGAAACAAATGGTTCAAGTGGTGAATGCCGACGAACCAAGGATCCTAATTGATATCTTTACAAGATGTGTTAGCCACTCTCTGCTTGGTGCTGCGGTTGATCGTATCAAGGAGATATGGAGTGCGATTGAACTAGGTGTCCAAATTGAGCTCGCGGCGGAATTGCTTGAGATCGAGTTGGAAGTAACACAGGATTTCTCTGGCATCGGTGTTCTGGAAAGATTGAGGATCCCCACGGCCGCCTTTCAGCATTTCTTTGATAACGCCCGGACTCAGCTTCAGGTATCTTTGCCCCACATCTCCGTTGGGCCCAATAAAAGGAGAAGAGGAGTATCTGATGGGATGAGCGATGGGGCAAAGACTGAGAAACTGGAAGCCGCGCGTAGAAGGGCTACAGTTGTAACAGATCTCTTGCACGCACAGGGCGCTGAGAGGCATGGTAGTCTCTTAAAGTCTCTCTTCGGTATTCTGTCGGATCTGGCAGGCTCCCACTTTTCGGGGATGGCATATTTGAATCAGGTTTTGCTCGACTGCATGAGCTCGATTGTGGCAAATATTCAGGTATCATTTGCGATTGACTCTCTTGACAGTGTCACCCTTTGGAGCTAATGCTTTTTTTTTTTTTTGCTAGCGTTCCGGTGGCCCTGGTATCGACGACAGTGTGAGACCGGATGTCCTTGTTGAATGTATCCGCGCAGCAACGGCCCCCCAAGTTCAGAATAGGGCAATTCTCCTGTTAGCAAACCTGGCAGATGTAGTTCCAGAGAGAGTACAACACAGCGTCATGCCAATATTTACCTTTATGGGGGCGAATACCCTGCGAAGAGACGACGAGTACTCGGCATTTGTTATCGAGCAAACCATAAAACGAATCATACCACCTCTAGTAAGGTCTCTTCAATCGCAAGAAGGCAACCAACTTGTTGGAACAGCAGAGTTGGTAAACACCTTTGTGGCAAGCTACTCCCATATCCCATCACATCGCAGAGTGCGCCTGTTCGTCGCACTGATAAACACATTGGGCCCGGAGGAGTTTCTTTTTGCTGTCATTGCAAAGTTGGGTGAAAAATATCTATCTACTGATGCCGAGAATCCGGCCGGGGAAGAAGCGGTTGTTACCTCCTCGTGCAAGATGATGGTCGAAAGCTTTGACATCGATATTCAGCTTGAGGCTATCAAACGCTACTTGGATCTAGTTACGGAAGTTCTTTGGCATATGAAGCATGGGTTGTCAAAACACCTATTCGAAGTCGCCAAGAGTGATAGATCCGAGCTTGCAGAGAGATTACTTAACTTACTCTTCATTGTTATCGGAAACAAGAAGCTCCAGGATTATATTGTCAAGATGGACGACGGCAGTGACATGCGCAGCGAGAAATTCTCCCAAGTACTAGAGAGAGTTCTTGGCCCGCTGGAGTGGGGTCCGGGAAGTGGTGTGTACGAGGCGGCCTCCCGTGTCCTTAGCGGCCTACTTTACGGCCTACACATACCCCGATTTATCTCCATTGTTGAACATCTTATCTTCAACCCCGAATCCAATTTCCGTGGCGGTGCATTGAAGACATTTAGAGATCGCCTGGCAAATATACGCAGAATTGATAGTGCCTCCGCAAAGGCTATTGCCGGCTTCGCACCTAAAATAAGTACTCTAATTTCCGCTCATGATCCCGACAAACTGAGCATTGATGCCATCGCATGCATCACTAGTATCGTCAAACTTTGTCAATCTGAAATGCCCCCCATCATCGCCAGCATCGCCGATGCAGTTGTTGGACATGGAGGACTGCACAGTTCTGATGACTCGGCACAGGCCGTATCCTTGGTTTGCCTCACCAGCCTAGCAGCTAAATTTAAGGTACACCTTATCCCAATTCTACCAAAGGCAGTCCCCCGCAGTTTGGAGCTCTTGAGGGAGGGTTTGGGCGGCGGGACTGGGCACGAGGTCTTGCATGACTATGTGATTGCGTTCCTGGAGGAGTTGGTCAAGAATCTTCCTGTCTTCATGACGAGTTGGCTGGAGAAGATCATGAAATTGATGTATTATTCTGCAGCCGTCATGGAGGAGGAGGATGAAGTTTGCGTAAGATTTGGTTTTTTGAAGACTATTGGTCAAAAAATACAATTGGATGCAATACTTCGGGTTTGCACTGAGACATGGGATCAGGTTATTGAGGGGGGTGAAGTGGTATGCCTGTTTGTTTTTTTTTACCCGCTCTGGTGCGACATTTTACTAATCCTCTATACAGGCGATCGAAGAGGTGCTGACGACTCTCGAAGTGGCGGAGAGCTCAACTAAAGGGGACGAGAAGCGCTCAAAGGCTACAAAGAGGCTATTCCGGACAACAGACAGCTTGAAGCCTCTTCTCAATATAGTACTGCTGCTCCTCGATCTTCGTAGAACACTCCTTGGTCTTGGGGAGACCGTGGATATTGAAGAGAAAAAAATCCAGGAGCTAGAGGACCAGGCCCTCAAGGTCATACTAAAGTTTGTATACCGACTCAACCACGGGAATTTCAGACCCGTGTTCCTCCAAATTATCGAGTGGGCCACGGAGGACCTTAGCAAAGGGTCAGCAACTAGTATCAATCGATGTGTCGCGCTCTGGAACTTCTTATACCTACTTGGTAGCGATCTGGAGGTAAGCTATACCTCCCCTCTAGGGTGAAAAAAATTATTCTACCGCCCTGATAACTAATCACAATCACAGTCAATTTTCACAAGCTATTTCGGTTTCGCCCTTGATAACGCCGTTGACATTCTCACCAACGACATCATCTTCACCACCCACCTTCCCCTCTGGAAATCTACCCTCAGAGCCCTGCGGGTAGCCTTTAAATCCGACGACCACGAGTTCTGGCAATCACCCACAACCTTCGGCAAGATCGCTCCCATACTCACCACGCAACTGGCCCGTGCCGCTGCTTCCGCCCCCGCTGTGCGCGAATATGTATACCCTGCCCTAACAGAACTAGTCGGTGCGATACAGGGCTCCGAAGAGCACGCCAAGGTGATTAATGGTAAAGTCCTGGAGCAGATGAAGGCCGACGATAAAATGGCTAGGATTGCGGCTGCTGAGGCATTGAAGGATATTTACGCTCAGGCTGGGGAGGAGTGGTTGAACTTTTTGCCAGAGAGTGTGCCTGTCATTGCGGAGCTTATGGAGGATGAGGATGAGGGAGTTGAGACTGCAGCGCATTTGCTGGTTGTGGCGATTGAGAAGCATCTGGGTGAGGGGGAGTTGCAGGCTATGCTAACTTGATAGATAAGGGGGTGGGCGTGTTTTTGAGGGTGTTAATTGTACATAATATTTTTTTTCCATGGGTGAATAGATAAATTTATCATCAGTAGTGTGAAATTCATACCCTATATTACTTAGACATGCTTAGCAATGCTCTCAGATGCTTCTGACTAAATCAGGTTTACTTGACTCTATCGATTGGACCAACACGTTCCTCTTCACAATAACTCACCACCTTTTGGCTATCGATATTTTGGTTGGGCCATATAGAGCGCATCTGGAGGTGCTGATATACTAGTCAACTATGATAATGAAAACCACACCCAGCATGTAATCATACTTATAAATCATTCTTCCGGCTGCGGGGTAAATTATTTCTATAAAGAGAAAAAGACAGTGACGCCTAAGCCATCCATCAGCCATCACCTCGTTATCCCCCATCTAAGGCCATTCCCGGGTACGGCACCACAGCACTGCTGCTCACCGGCATCAAACCACTCCTTTCTGTCCATCTGATGCTTGGATGGTTCAGAGCTAAACCATCCTATTGATACTTGCCAAAAAAAATCCGTCTACCCGTAGGAGGGCAATATCTAGTCCAGACAGAGGGAGGGCCATATCTGCTACCTGTTGTATAGCGCAGGCCGAGGGGCGCCTGAATTCGGTAGGAGTGGCACTCCAGGAGATTTGTGTTGAGGTTTTCCCGATATCTAAAGGAGCTAGGCAAGAGAGGATCTCCCCAGAGTTTTTTTTTTTTTACTTTCTCTCTTAACATTCTTTCTTATTTCATTTTTTTTCTCTCTTCCCATAGTGGCTCTCTCTTCAAGTGAAACCAAATACTCTTATGATACCTCAAGAGGCTGCAGAAGAATTTCTTTACAGATTCCGGCAAGTTCCTTCTTGGAGAAACGGTGGCACTTTGAGTACTCTTGACGCCGATGGACGGGGGTATACTATTATACGTAAGAACTGAGCTTTAGTTGATGCAGTTCACAGGATCTCACTCGACTACACTTGACATCTGGTTTGGAGCTTGGAAGGTGGATGCAGACACTCTGAACAAACCTGTATCCCCAATGACGAATATCGCCTGCGCCACTCTTCCACCTTGGGCTTGTCTGTATCCGTGCTTGTGACGACCTTCTGTTTCCATCTCCCGGATTCGCAGCAGCGTCGTGTAAGCCAGCGCGCCAACTGCGGCGCAATTTCAAAGGCGTCCGGGAGTCACAAAATCCGTATACTACTGTATCACACAGGTGGTCATTCGTTACACCTATTTTTTCTATTTTTTCTTAAAAAAAATTATTTACTTAAACAGCTACTGACAGAATACATGATTAGCGAATTTAGTGTCTATCATCCCATGTTTTTTTTTTCTTTTTTCGTTCATTAGGCCAACAATTCCCCGGCCTTCCTCCCCCTCTATTACCGCTCCTTGAAATTCTCGCTCCAACCCCAGGCTTCAGAATTAGGGGGACTCGACCTTGATGACAGACTCCATGGACTCCTCCCTCTCGTTCTCCACCTTAACCTTAGGACTAGCCTCCTCCACCGCAATGTAGCCACTCGCGCCCTCCGCTCCAGTCTTGTCTGCAATAGAAGCGGCGGAAACATGTCCCCCAACTTCCTCCCCGCCAGAGCCCACAGTTTGCTGATCTTGCGTGGACTCCTCCCTCTCGTTCTCCACCTTAACCTTAGTACT